CATTACCATTATTATTATTATTATTATTATTATTATTATTATTATTATTACTAAATAGCGTTTATTTTAATTGACAGCTGACGTTTCAATCATTAAATATAAACACACAATGGGGTGTGAAATTATTTCAATTATGTAACAATTGACAGTTGTCTTAAAAAGAGCAATGAAAAACATAATGATAATATAGAAGAACATCTATGTAAGTGTGTATATAAAGGTTGTAGAGATATACAAATGAATGAAGGAAGGAAGGAACGAAGGAACGAAGGAACGAAGGAAGGAAGGAAGGAATAAATGAACAGATGAATAAATGAACTAGGAGAAAATTTATCATTTTTAATAGAATATTTTCAAATATTAAAAAGGTTTACTTAGTTAATTATATATACATTCTAATATACTTTACTATAAAGAAAATAAAAGATGGATAATGGTTAGCAGTGTAGTCCAGGACGCGCGTTTCGTCCAATTCGGGACAAGTCAGCTAGATAAACCTGTATCCCAGAGTTGATGTTCACTCTGTGGCTCGAACCCAGTACCTTTCTCTTAAAACACTATCGCGTTATCCACTTAGCTAATGAGTCCTGATAGCTATTTGCTTGTGCAATGGGGTGAAGTTTAAATTCACTTAGGATTGTTTGTTTGAATCTATATCGAGGCAATACGCACAGTATGCACATATGCCAATAAGAGACTGACCAGTTGCAATGTTAAACATCAATTGGAAGATTCAAACAAACAATACTAAGTGAATATAAAGAAAATAATTTAAATTGATGAACATAATTCTTGTAAAGTTTTCTACATAATAAAATTATAGACCTTTCTATTGGAGAATCAAAGGAAGAATGAAATATATATCCATGACCCTGTTCGTGGGGTTCGAATCCATGACCTATCGGTCTCATGAGTAAACTCTTAACCCATAGACCATTGAGTGGACGAGACCAATTGGTCCTGAGTTCAAATCTTGTGGGCGAGATTGTGAATGTGCACTGTTGAAGAGTCCTGTACTAGGACGATATGTTACGGCTAACCTTGAATTATTCTGAAAGTGTTCTTGACAAATTTCAACTATTTGTTAGGTCCAGAATACGATTTATGTTTGGGAGTTAGGCTTAAGAGTCAAGATTAGTAATTAGATTTAGGGTTTTATCATGATTTGACATCAACTATAATTCAAGTATCCTTTATAGACAGATAGATTAATAAATTTTTTTCACAAAATTTCAACAGGCGGTATCTTGGATATAATTGGTTTGTCCATGAATTATTGTCTCCCTCATTGTTTATATTAATAATTAACTTTAATTATAAATAACTCATTGCATCATTAGAAGTATTACTTACTTACTTTCGCCTGTTACTCCCAATGGAGCATAAGCCGACGACCAGCATTCTCCAACACACTCTGTCCTACCTCTTCCTTTCTAGTTCTATCCAGTTTTTGTTCATTCTTTTCATGTCTGTCTCCATTTCTCGACGTAATGTGTTCTTTGGTCTTCCTCTTCTCCTTTGACCTTCAGGATTCCATGTGAGGGCTTGTCTTGTGACACAGTTCGGTGATTTCCTCAATGTGTGTCCTATCCACTTCCAGCACTTCTTCCTGATTTCTTCCTCCGCTGAATGGAATGTTGTTTGTTCTCTCCCACAGTAGCTTGTTGCTGATAGTGATCATTAGAAGTATGGGTTAGGTATATATCCCTGTTAATAGTTAGGACTGAATCTAAGACTTTTCTTTGTTAGCATATAATTAAAGTAAAAAAAACCCACTAGCAGTTCATTTTCCTTCCACAAATGGTAACACAGAAGTGGATAAGTTAAAGTATCTGTAAACTGTTAATGCTAATCAATATCAGTCTCTAGCTGTGAAGGAATGAATATTCCATCTCAATAACACTATTTTCTAATCAATTTCATCATTTAGATAGATAAACTTGATTCCGTTAACATTATTGATGCTAATAACAACATCAAACAGATTCTAAACTGTGGTCTAAACATCTTTGTTTACTATCCAAACTAGTAGATAAGGGATAGTTATATAATAGACATGATATTTACTATTCACTGATGATTGTAGTAACAACGATTTAGTATAAGAGGTTTGTAAAGATTGTTCAATTTTTAGTTTACATCACAGATCAACTTTATATAAACAATCAAAGGATGCTGTGCAGAGGTTTCATCTTAGTATGCGGTTACTCACTAGTTCAAACTCATAACAACCTTGTAACCGGAATATCCTATGTTTCATCTTGGACAACGTTGTGAATAAAAATTTCTGGGTCATTCTATAATAGGACAAGACAGCCGTCCAGTGCTCCCCAGTTTTCAATGTATTTCTAACTGAGATCAACCAATAGTGAATGCCACATACAAATTAAAGAAAGTCCTTTAAGAAAACTTATAAATCGAGGCATTTAATCAATTTAAATTAAAAGAATCACTCGAAAACTAACGAAGTATCTTTATTGTTAGTTCACACGTATAATAACTTAAAATTCATAATATGTCATCACTCATAAACTATAACTGATTACCGTTCGAATGCAATGAAAGACTTTGGAAGAGTATGAACGTTAAGATAAAATTCTAAGAAGTTAAATGAAAACATGTTCACCACACTATGAATAACCCTAGTGAGACGAAAACTAGAAAAAATGTTTTCAGGTCATAGACCACTATTTGGAAGGTTTGTAGTGGCGATTGATATGTTAAGTCTATATACCATATCATAGCTTCAGGAAAAGCCAATTTACTTATCCATCATGAGTCCCGTTTTGACCGTGTTAATTATACACTTATTCACCGATAGACTATTGATCCGGCATCCAACAATGGTGCTCTGACACGAGACTGGTAGGTCCTGGGTTCGAATCTCGTGAGAAGGGATCGTATATGCACACTGCTAAGGAGTCCCACAATAGGAAGAAACGGCCATCCAGTTCTTCCAGGTTTTCCATGGTAGTTTAACTTTAATTGACTCATGATTTCAACTATATACGAACTGATAGTTGTTAGTGGTTAGTTCAAGTAGATTGGTAAGAATATTTAACATAAAATAATTTTCACCACGGACTGATAACAGCTGAAGAGGTACTAACAACTAGAAATCACTGAACAATTGTTAAATTTTATATAGGGACTCCATTAAAATCTACATTCACAACTCGGAACAGTAGTCTAAAGGTAATTTACTCTCTGTACAACCCAGGTTCGAGCTTTAACTGAGACCGTTATCCAGTACTTATTTAAATATGGTTTATTTATTGCTTTGAACCAGGATTTTATTTAGATCAGTCCTAAACACTAGAAAATCTTTTGATTGAACTCTCTTAAAATATACAGGATAGAACCCGCTTAAGATATCATCTATCAATTTGAATAAAATCATAATTTCATTGATAGTTAGTATGTTCCAATATCTTTATTCAATGAATTTTTCTCCAAACTATTTTCAGACCACTTTGTATTGTGTGTTTGAACCTTTCCATTGATGTTTAGGACTGCAATTGATTAGTCTCTTATTGGCATATGTGTATATTGTACATATTGCCTCGATATTATCTTAACTCATAAGCATTATAAGCAAAGATGGATAGTGGCTAGCAGTGGAATCCAGGACGAGCGTTTTGTCCTATTCAGGACTCGTTAATTGGATGTATTTGTATCTTGGATTTGATGTTCACTCTAGGCCTCGAACTCAGTACCGTTTGCTTCCAATTCCATAACATTATCCACCTAACTAATGAGTCCTGATAACTACTAGCTTGTGTATTAGGATGAAGTTTACATTCACTTATCTGGAAACCCTCACATATCTGGGCAGCATCACCGATGAACACGGTGGATCTGATGCAGATGTGAAGATACGGATCGGCAAAGCAAGAGTAGCATATTTACAACTGAAGAACATCGAGAACTCAAAACAATTGTGAAAGAACACCAAGATCAGAATTTTTAATACAAATGTCAAGACAGTTCTATTGTATTGGGCGGAGACGTGGAGAACTATGAAAGCCATCATCCAGAAAATATAAGTGTTTATTAACAGTTGCCTACGCAAGATACTTCGGATCCGATGGCCAGACACTATCAGTAACGAGCTACTGTGGGAGACAACAAACTAGATTCTATCCTGTGAGGGAAGAAATCAAGAAGAAGCGCTGGAAGTGAATAGGACACACATTGAGGAAATCACCTAATTGCGTCACAAGACAAATCCTCACATGGAATCCAGAAGGCCAAAGGAAAAGAGGAAGACCAAAGAAAATGTAGACAGACATGAGAAGAATGAACAAAAATTGGATAGAACAAGAAAAGAAGGCCCATGACAGAGTGGGTTTGAGAATGCTAGTTGGTAGCCTATGCTCCATTGGGAGTAACAGGAGTAAATAAGTAAGTAAGTTACATTCACTTGATATGATTTACTTGAATCTTTCCATTAATATCCTATTTTCAAACCAATAAATTAAAGCCAATTAAGGAAAATTAACCAAAAATTTAATTAACCAATCAAAAGATTTCTATAATTTTATAAAATTCACAATTTGATTGGTTATTTTAATTTTACTTATTATCCTTATTTATATATGAAAGAAATTAGGTTACATTTTTCATACCTCTCCTTTACATTAATAATTTTAAAATTATTGGTAAAACAAAAAAAACGATAAAAAATGAGAGGAAAGGAAAAAGAAAAAAGAAAAACATACATGGGGGGGGAGAAGAAAAAAAAAGAGGAAGAAGCTTATTCAGCGCAAAAATTTAAGCCAATCAACATACGATTAGCTGGAGTTTTTCTCCCCATAACTATTCCATAAATTAAATTGAGAAAAGGAATCCAAAAAAATTAGTAGTAGTAGTAGTAGTAGTAGTATATAATAAAATTTCTTTTCATTTAAAAGATATTAAAAATTAATTTAATTAATTCATTAATTAATCAACCCTTTTTTTGGCTTGTTTTCTGTATACTACTTAAAAGCTACTTAAATATGATTCATCAATATGATTCAACGAAAAGCGTAACCAGTTCAGATTGTAAAAAGCATTTACCATTTACCATTCATACACTTCTAGAACTTAATAATAATACTAATAATAACAATACCAATAATACTACTAATAATACTACTACTAATACTAATAATGATAATACATTGAATATTGAACAAACTAATGAAAAAGAACAAATATATACAGAAAAATATTTAAAAACTATGATGAAAAAAAATGGAAATATTATTGATTTAAATAAACAAAATTTTAATTTAATCAATAATTGGATAGCAACTAAATTAGATGAAAAATTATTTTTACAATTATTTAAAAATGTATATTTATCATTAAATTCTACACAGCAACAAGAACAACAACAACAACAACAGCAACAACAAACTGATGTTTTCAATGATTGTTATCATACAATGGATGATGCTATCAGTACTACTATTCCTACAACTCCAACTACTACTACTACTACTACTAATACTACTACTAATAATAATATAAGTAGTCATGACAATTACATTGATTATGGTATTCCTAATATTAATAATATTGTAAATTATTTACAAACAGATCATTGGTCAGAACTTTTAAATTTGACAACAAAACATTCATCATCTTATCCAATTCAACCGTCATCATCATCATCATTGTCATACTCGTCATCACCGTCATCATCATTATTATTATCATTTAATAATCAATCTGAAATAATTAAATCTACATTGAAACATTTAAATTGTGATTATTTACAATCTAAATGTATATTTTCATCTAATGGTCAACTTAAAGAAGATATTAATTCTTTGAAGAATATTCAGAAAAGTAAGGTTTTTGGGTACTCAGAAATCGATTTTTTATTACTAGTAACATTTATTGAAGAGTTACAGATGGATCTGTAATTGATCATTCTATTGGAACTGTATATGATAGAATTATGATGATTTATATTGACATCGATAACTAGTTATATTCTTGAACTTGAGTTGATTTTGATATATATCTCATGATTAAGATATATAAATATAATAATTTTGATGGAGTTTTATTCTGTGAGCTGGATGATTTCGTCATGAAGCTATCATCGTCCTTAAGAATAACATCATCAACAGCACAAACTTCGGGTAGAAGTGAAGTGTTTGAATTTCTTCACATGTGGTTCATAGCTCGTTTTGTACACCTTGATGTTGATTGGTTCTTGTTGAAATTAAATCTGTCATTGTTTATTTCTTTGTTTTGGTTGTATCTCCCATTGGTTTTGATTTTTTGTCCCAATGTTTGCCGATAATGTCGTTTAGAAAGACGATGAAAGCTCGACGATTAAAACATCCAGCTCAGAGAACAAAATGCCATCAAAATCATCCACCTGAGCTACAAATCTTCTTCAGCATCTCGGAATCATATAAATGTATTAAGTTATTAACGGTCTTCATGTATTGAATATGTTCAATGAATTATTTGAGCCTAAATAGTTGGTATAATTTCACTAAGGCATATTTTCAACTTGTTTCTTACTCTAACTTATTCAGCACATAATATGACTATCTATTTCACTTTGAGCTATTTGATATAGATATGATGCTGGAGAAGATTTGTAGCTCAGGTGGATGATTTCGATCGAGTTTTATTCTCTGAGCTGGATAGTTTGCTCATGGAACCTTAATCGTCCTTCTGAACGACATCATGAACTGATAGATAGATAGAAAATCATTGAATACCAACTATAAAAAATTGAATAGTCTTTTTGTCTTTATCTATAATTTCTTAGTCCTATGCTGTCATTATCCTAACAGGCTTTCAACTCTAGATATTCAGATCATACGGTTCATAGTTTTCATCTTAATCAACTCATAATGTAATATGACAATCAGATGTAATGCTCCTAAGATAAACTTGGTTATTTCCGTACTTCATAAACATATTTATATATTGATTAAATATTTTAATATCAGTAGGGGGTTTTGTGGAGATTTTAGTAATTCACTGAAGACAAAGGTGGACGGTGGCTCAATTTTGTAAATTTGTTGAAATCAGACAATAACACCTTTAGATACCAATTCAATGGTCTAGATTTTAAGAGTTCATGCACGAGACCGATAGGTCCTGAGTTCGAATCCCGTGAGCGGGATTAAGGATGCGCACTGTTGAAGAGTCCCATACTAGGACGAAAAGGTCTTCCAGAATAAACTACTAAATCCTTACTCCTAAAAACAACAAGTTTATAGAACATATTCCATTTTATGAGTTCGATCTCTATCCAACTTTAGATGGTACATTATTGAATAGTGTAACACTTGCATGAAGTAAATGTTTAGTGTTACCTAGTATCTTAATAGATGTTTTATCCCATGATAAAAATCACATATAATATGGGTTCGAGTCCCAGAATGAACATCAACTCTGAGGTTCAGTAACATCCAGATGACGAGTCCCAAATAAGACGAAGCGCACGTCCTGGATTCCACTGCTAGCCAATATCCATCTTTGCTTACATTTTCGTGTCAATACGCACAGTATGCACATATGCCAATAAGAGACTGACCAGTTGCAGTCCTAAACATCAATTGGAAGATTCAAACAAACAATACTAAGTGAATTTAGTGTTAAAACAGTTTATTATCATGACAAAAAACAACAACAACGACAACAACAACAGAAGTATATGACTTCAATAAACCCTACAATGACACATAATAATTTGTACATCAAATGATTCTCACCCTCTCTATACATTCTTTTTCCACTTCCCATCTTTTAAGAAATAATAAGCTGACAGTTTTACCAACGATTAGCTAATCATATAGACAAATAGATAGATAGATAGATAGATATGAACATATACGTAGATTTAATATAAATTAATGATGACATAAGTAAATTGCTTCTCTTTATAAGATGAATTAGAATGAACATCCAAAGTTATACCTCCTTATTGAATTAGCTTATTTATTCATGTTCGTTTGTTTGTTTGTTTTTTGGGTCCTGAAAATCGTTTTTTTTTGTCTCTCAGAAAACATGAAGAAATCAGACACCTTCATACCTATACAAACATATTTGTCTATATAGGCAAATGATTTCTTCAAATAATCAATAACAATTAAGTAGTATTGCTTGAAATATGATCTTATATATTAATTGGTTACATCAATCAAGAATTAATTAAATATTAATTAAGTAATATATGATTTTTTAAGATCATTTTCTTTATAAATTGACATTATCGAATAGAACTAATGAAAACAACTAAGATAATCATATACTCAGTAGAGACTGGCTTCAAGAGATATTTCTTGAAGTTCTAGTGAGAAGCAGTGACCAGTGAAGTTCAACCACATCTGTTGTAGAGATATCAACTCACTGAAGACAATTTTGTGGATTGGTTGAAGTTAGACAATAACACCGTTGGATGTCAGCTCAGTGGTCTATCTGTAAAGTGCTCGCGTGTGAGACTGATAGGTCTTGGGTTCAAATCCGTGAGGAGGGATCGTGGATGTGCACTGCTGAGGAGTCCTACAATAGGACGAAACGGCCATTTTCTTGATTGCATGTTTTCCATGGTGGTCTAGCTTCAAATGACTCATGATCTCAACTATGGAAAAATATAAATTAAGAAAAAAACCTCTATTCCATACAACTGAATTTTAAATTTATCCTCTCTAACTAATTCTAGTTATGATCGATGAATAAAATCCTTTCTAAATAATATACTTTTATCAGAAGGGGTTTTAGTGAATTACTTACTTACTTACTTACTTACTTACTTACTTACGCCTGTTACCCCTCGTGGATGAACATAGGTCGCCCACCAGTATTGTTTCGTATTATTTTCTCTGTTTAACGTTTTTTTAGCGAGTTAGTTTTTCTACATGATGAGATCGCTAACCCCATGCTCAACCCTCCTCTTTTACCCGGGCTTGGGACAGTCAGTAACTCTAGAAGAGCTACAAGTGAAGTTATTTTAGTGAATATTATTGTAAATTTAACAATTAAAATCATGAATCCAATACTTCCAAGTTGTCCATAATGATCTAACTTCAATTGATTTGTGATCTTTAAAGTGTTATTTAACTAATCTTTATACTACTACCCTCATTACATTCTAATAGATGATATTGTTATGTAACAATATTAATAAAAAGTAAATAAGATACATATAATGATTGTTTGAAGTATATAGATATTGGGACTAATCAAATTATGATTGGATTAGTGTCCTTTTGGTCGGTGATGGTGGTGGTGATGTGGTTGTTGTTGTTGTTGTTGTTGTTGTTGTTGTTGTTGTTGTAATGATACGCTCAATTAACTTTTTTTTATTATGGTATGATTACATTTTAATATTGTCCATTTTTATTGTTAGATAATGATCTGGGTTAAATCTTAAAGGAGCTGAGTAGACTATCCACACACACACACACACATCTACTCACATACACACATACATACTCCTATTCACATACATTAATACTAATATTCGATAATCTATGGGTAAATCAGTCATGGTTTATTTGTTTATTTTTTAATTGTTTATGTAAGTATAATGTACACATATTGTTGTTTGATAATGATGAAGATCAGGATGAAGATGAAGATGAGGATGATGATGACACTGAAGTGGTCTTGTGTTCATGAAATAATTGACCTTTTCACCTGTTTTTTTTTATTATTCGGAAAAAAAGAACCCACTAACTTCTTGTTTTACTTTTGAAGTTAATTTTTTTTCTTCAAGGTAGAAAGAAATTAATAACCAGATGTTTTTTTTATTTTTAAAACCTTCTTCCATATTAATGATGTAGTGATTTACTGAAAGAAAGGGGTATTTTTTTAAATTTTTTTCCATTTAATGACTTATTGTTGGTGGGGGGGGGTTTGATACCCAGAAATCATTTGGTAAATCAGAAAGGATTTTTTGTGGAGATTTCGGTATTTTTCATGAGTCGATTGAAGCGAGATCACTATGGAAAACCTGGAAGCACTGGACGGCCATTTCGTCCTATTATGGGACTCCTAAGCAGTGCGCATTCACGATCTCGCTTCGCGAGATTTTTTAAAAATTTTATTTTGGGAAATTGGATTTCTTGTTTTTGTATTAGAAGTATCTATTCTTACCTTCACAGTGTATTTCTCACTTTGGGAGGACCTTAAATGTCAGTGATTCGTTGTCTCTTCTATTATGCTATTTTGTGACGTTTCCTAAGGATCTTTTTATGCTATATATATATATATATATATATATATATATATATATATATATATATAGATAGATAGATAGATAGATAGATAAATATATATATATATGCTTGAGTTGTGTGCTTGGTTTGTTCGGGCTTCTGGCTTACTTACCTACTTACGCCTGTTACTCCTCGTGGAGGAGCATAGGCCACCCACCAGCATTCTCCATCCAACCCTGTCCCAAGCAATACTTTCTAGTTCTTTCCAGTTAACATTCATCCTTTTCATATCTGCGTCTATTTTCCGGCGTAATGTGTTCTTTGTCCTTCCCCTTTTCCGCTTCCCTTCCAGATTCCAAGTTAGGGATTCCTTAATGTATGTCCGATAGGCTTCTAGCTACTCATGGAATATGCCTTTCTCTCATCTAAACCTGATCTTCTCTCTCTAGTTAGCAGGGCTAGGATGCATCGGAATAGTCGACTTGTCTTTTCGCTATGTTACTGAACCTTCGTTTCATTCTCCGATTTAGTTGATTTCGTAATCTCCTCAAATATAGCACTTATAACAATAAAATTCATCATTACTGACCTCGATATTATGTTAGAAACTATAGTGACCGAAATATATGATTTTTCTATTCAAAGAAATAAACCCGTTTACAAATTAAGTTTAAGGTTAGGGTTAAATGATAAGAAAGATGTAACTAGAAAGGTTAACTTTTCATAAAATAAGAAAATGAAGAAGCCCAAGAGATTCAGTGATCACAATATGATTTTCAATTAGTGAAATGTATATATATTGTAGTATCACTTGACTGTGGAGCTGAGTGACACAGGATCGAATCCATCAGGGAGCACCAGTTCCCTCAAGATTACAGGTACACCTTGCGGACGAGTGCCAAGTAACACGAAACCCGGATCCAGGGTTTTCTGTTGACCACCTCCAACCACCATCTTATCTCAACATACTGCACGCAGTGTCGAGCCACCTAGACTAGTGGCCATATTGCAACTTGATCGATAGCTTTCGATCGGCACTAAGAAGGACTTGACACATATGAGATTGATTACCACCCAGTGATCAATCAGTTGTGAGTATCACTTACATTGGGTTGTAGCAATAACTTCACCTTTAGAAATTCAGTAGTATTGGTGTAAATGTATTCATTCCTTATCATATTTCAAATTTTGCGTTTGGTATCATCATGTTCTTTTCACTCTGTAATCATCCTTGAAGGCATTTGTACAACACTACAAACGCTGACTTGATGTCAACCTTATGACCAGGTTTATTGAAGCCTTGGCTATACGGAAATCGGAACCCCCTTTATGTGTTCAAAAACAATTTGTTCTTAGCCTTAACCTACCCTGTTAATGCTGATTTATTATCCAGAGTAGTCATCACATAGTTTTTGTGTACTTTATTTATTTCCCTTATGCCTAACTTTACACTGATATTAAAACTATTATTATTTCCTCTCTCCTTCTTATCTTAATGATTTCTTTTATTGCTAGACCAATAAAAAGTTTAAAAACTTAGACTGATTTGGATCCATAAATAATATAAATAATCTTGTAAAGAACTTTATTAAAGTTGGGTAGTAGGGTTCAGGATTCCCACGTCAGTCGATTTAAGACTCGTCACATGAATATACCGACACAGGTATTGATGTTTACTCCAGGGTTCGAACCTAGTACCGTTCGCTTTGAACGCTAACGAGTAATTCACTTAGCTACTGAATCCACAAAGCTCCTCATTTTTTCAATTGGTATCAATATTAACTTAATTTGTAATGGTTTGAAAGTATTTCACTGTTGAATTTCAATCATTGAAGGTACATTTAACTGACGAGTCGTAACTAGAACGAAACAGGATTCTAGAACTTCGCTACTAGCCATATTCCATCTACTCTTCATAGATTTGCGTAATAATATCCTTATAGGTTGACCAAAATTCTATCAAAATATTAACAACGACATAAATCAAATCATTACTACTTTACCTAAATCTTGTAAAGATTTTTAAATATTTGAAATGTAAGCGCAATCATTGTAAAACTTAAGTTTCATGGACTCGATCTCATTTAGGAGTGTGTGTGTGGGTGTGTCTCTACTACTGATGAATTTCAAAATAGAATGAAGTATCCTTACAATGATTAAATATTTAACAAAATGTTAATAAATATTCAATATAAAGGGGGGGGGGAGATTTTAGTAACTTTATGTAGTTGAGATAATAAGTCAATTGAAGCTAGACCATTAGAGAAAACCTGAAAACACTGGACGACCGTTTCGTCTTATTGTAGGACTCCTCAGGTTTTCCATGATGGTCTAGCTTCAATTGACTAATGATCTCAACTATATAAAATATTTAATATTGGACATGATATATTATTGAAAAGAAATGACAACTTTAATAAATATATATATATATATGAATTCTTTTCATGTTTTCTTCAATTAACACCTATTTCTGAACAACTAAAAGTCCCGAATTAATATTTCTTCGTAATGTTGAAGTATGTGTCATCAAGTTGGGAGGGTTTGAATCCATCAAGGATATATATATATATAGAGAGAGAGATGGGTGAGGGGAGTGGAAACTAACAGATTCCTACTTAATTCCTAATGACTTTAGGATTATCCTTTAGATGATATTTTTGACTGAGTTCGTATCATTCAATGAAATCTATTGGAGGATAGTTTAAAAAAAAACTAGGGAACACTAGATAGATACTTTAATATCCATATTTTATTCTATATTTCATTAAATTTGTGCTCTGTAATGAAGTTAATATCATGATTTGTTGGTTGGTTGGTTGGTTTAGTTAGATAGTACTTTTCTGAAGTCAAACTAATCAAATAACAAAAGAAGAAGAAGAAGACAACGAAGGAATGATGCGTAGAAGTACTCATAAATCATGTTTACATATACGTCAACAGACTGATATTGACACTGAGATCTTAGTAGTAAAACTAGTTAGTTAGATAAATAATCCACATGTATTAGTTTATCCACGTAATCATTCAGCAATATTATTCAAATTTTCATTTACTTAGCAATATAATAGGATAGTTGTTCCGTATCAACTATAGTAACTGTTATCATTGTAAATCTTCATTATCATTAAAGTGTCGAATATCAGTAAGGAATAATTTAGATCCAACTGTGTGATCAAACAAGCTGTAAGGGAAGAGTAAGAAGTGTAGATCTATTTAAACTATTTATTAAAGAGTGCCATGTCTAATTCTCTTCATTCTATGTTAATCCTAACTTTCTTCTGATTACGTAATATTTAACATCATTTGTTACTTCATTTCATTCTATCATTCTTCTCATTTAAATAGTACTTTACATCCCATTAATGTTCTTTTATTCGGAATACAATTCTGATCTGATTTTTGATAATCATTGATTAATGACTGAATACTGAGTAATCAAAAAGGAGTTTTGTGAAGATTATAGTAATTTACTAGTTGAATTCATGGGTTAATTGAAGCTAGACCACCATAGAAAACCTGAAAGCACTGGATGACTGTTTCATCCTAGTATAGGACTTTTCAACAGTGCGCATTCACGATCCCATTCGCAGGATTCGAACAGTTGAATTTGCTTTTTAATTTCCTTTTATCAGTAGGTAATTAAAATCTTTGTAAAATATCATATTAGATAGTGTTTGTGAATTAAGGCTATATCAAGGCAACACGCACAGTATGCACATATGCCAATAAGAGACTGACCAGTTGAAGTTCTAAACATCAATGGGAAGATTCAAACAAACAATACTGAGTGAATTCAAACTTCACACCATTGTACAAGCAATTGGCTATTAGGAATCAGTAGCTGAGTGGATAACGCGATGGAGTTTGAAGCGAAATTTACTGGGTTCGAGTCTCAGAGTGAACATCAACTCTGAGATGCAGGTACATCCAGCTAACGAGTCCCAAATAAGACGAAACGCGCATCCTGTATTCCACTGCTAGTCACTATCCAGCTTTGCTTACAATGCTTGTGAATTAAGGCTATATCGAGGCAATACGCACAATATTCATATATGCCAATAAGAGACTGATCAGTCGCAGTCCTAAACATCATTGGGCAGTTTCAAACAAACAATACCAAGTGAATGTCAATATCCTTATTGATAAGAATCAGTCTCAATATGTGACTAATCGGTTAGATGTCATTTGTTGTTGGTCCAAATGAATAATTCATAGAAGGTTTGGAAATTAAAACTAACATAATCATGATGATGCATTTTTTTGTTTTCTATCTTTTATGCATACAGTTGAGTTATTTTAAGAAATAAAAGTTACAGGTTTGAACCTCCATCCAACTATTTCAGTTTTTTAATTGAGCTTAAACCTTAGCATATACAAAACTTTTACCTGATTATTAAATTTGAGTGGCTCAATAACTTCAGTTTTGTCATCGGACTAAATTGAAATTGTTTTGTAAGCAAAGATGGGTAGTGACTAGCAGTGGAATACAGGATGCGCGTTTCGTCTTATTTGGGACTCGTCAGCTGGATGTACCTGCATCTCAGAGTTGATGTTCACTCTGAGACTCGAACCCAGTAAATTTCGCTTCAAACTCCATCGCGTTATCCACTCAGCTACTGATTCCTAATAGCCAATTGCTTGTACAATGGTGTGAAGTTTGAATTCACTTAGTATTGTTTGTTTGAATCTTCCCAAACAAACAATACCAAGTGAATTTGAAACTTTGTTTTTTACTGAAATAAAAGATGGATTTATCTTTTTCTTCATTTTACTACTTTTTTTTATGACAGAAACTCTTTTCAACACCAAAATTGAAAATCCTATCAATTCTTCTGTTCAACCATCCTTTACATCAGTTGCTGATGCTTGTAATTACAATGCGGAATTCGCTAGTCATTCACCACAAAATAAACCAGTATATGAAAATAATGCATTGTCATCTCCGATGTTATTACCATCATCTATTTCCATGCCATATTTCTTCCCTTCACTTAATATACTAAACAATCAATCATTAGAAAAGCAATATAATCCTTATACATGTGATAATTCCTACAGGAATCTACCATATAATTGTACAGAAGTTAATAATAGACAATGTAATACACTACATGATTGTACTTATTCACAATCTTCATTTTCATTGAATTATAATGCTTCAGATAATCTTGTTAAATTGACAAATAAATCAGTTGATACAAGTTCTGTTAATTCTATCACTGGTTCTACTACTGATATCATTTCCAGAATTAATAATGATAATTCTACTATTACTACTAATACCAGTAGCACTACTACTTATAAACATAAAAGTAATCTCAGTAGTAATACTGGTATACGTGAGTATAAAACTAAATCTAGAAAGTCAAATTCTACTGGTTTTATACATAGAAAAAGCAGCAATGCATCAAATCATCTATCATCATCTAATAAAATAGAAATACTGACAAATTATGTGAATCGGAATAACGTATTGTTGAAAACCAATAGTGATGATGGGGATGACGACAATGGCGGTGGTAATGATAATGATGATGAGGATGGTGACAGCTTCAATGATGATGATGATAACAGTAATAATAATAATAGTGTTAAATCAAGCAAACGAAGAAGACATAGGTAAGTCAATCGCCTATGATAATTTATTCCTTAAATATGTAGATATCATTAGTAAAGACTTTCCCATAGGTTTCAAACTTATTTATAAATCAGAAGGGGGTTTTGTGGTGATTTTAATAATTTTATATAGTTGAGATCATGAGTCAACTGAAGCTAGACTACCATGGAAAACCTGGAAGCACTGTGGGACGCCTCAGCAGTGCACATCCACGATCCCGCCCACAAAACCCATTCTGATAATAATCATATGCTCACTAGTAAATGGCTTCAAGAAGTATTTCCTGGAGTTCTAGTGAGAAGCAGTGAACAGTTGAGGTCAACCACGTCTGTTGTGAGGGAATAACTCACTGAAGACATTGGTGGATGTGTCACTGAATTTCGTGAATTACTTGAAGTTAGACATTCATTGTTTAGATACAATTAAGAACTATAAGTTATCACGTCTAGTGTTAAGATATACAAGTTTTGAAACATCTCAATTATAGTGTAAAGTAACTGGCATATTCCACAAACATTTGATAATGATTGTACAATATCACAAAATCATATCACAGTCGAGAAAATTTAACTACTGAATCCTGATTTATTACTTCAAATGTATCATGTTCACCGTGTGAAATGAATGTTCTGTGCTTGATCTCGTATTAAGTCATGGTTGTGCACTTAGTGGTCTAGTGGTGGGGTGCTAGCAAAGAGAGAGAGCTAAAGATTCAAGAGGGTTCGTTCTGTGTACTACTAAGGAGCTTCAGACTATGAAAAAAAAACTATCTCTTGTTTCAAAATACGGTCAGTCAATGATGAATGTCATATAACGTTTATAATATAGTCTTTGAAGGTGACAAAGTTAAAAAAAATATTGATGTATTTAATCACAAGTATTTTGCAAACATTCCTCCTGTGTAGTGGAGTCCGTTTACCATTTAGTCCGGAGTAAAATGGAGATTTTGAAAAGTTTAAGAAACTGCATTAACTGAATTAGTTATGCCATATATCAATTCTGTTGATAACAGCTGATGGGTGAGACAGTTTAAAAGTGGCATAGCAAAGATATCATACGAACTGTTAAAGTGTTTGACTACTAGTCTAAATAACTCACAATACCATTATCTTTATAAGTAAGGTTCTTCTAGATTTAGTGGTTAATAATAATTAAACATCACAAACGGTATAATACTAATTACTAGTTATCACTTTGTATTGTTTGTTTGAACCTTCCCAATGATGTTTAAGGCTGCAATTGATCAATCTCTTATTAGTATATGTGCATACTATGCTTATTGCCTCGATATAGCCTTAATTCACAAGCACTGTAAGTAAAGCTGGATAGTGACTAGCGGTGGGATCCAGTTTGACGCACTCTTCGTCCTATTTGGGACTCGTTAGCTGGATGTACATGCATACCAAGTGAATTTAAACTTAACCCCATTGCACAAGCAATTGGCTATCAGGAATCAGTAGCTGAGTGGATAACGCGATGACGTTTGAAGCAAAAGGTACTGGGTTCGAGTCTCAAAGTGAACACCAACTCTGAGATGCAAGTACATCCAGTTGACGAGTCCCAAATAGGACAAAACAAGCGTCCTAGATTCTACTGCTAGTCACTATCCGTCTTTGCTTACAATTACTAGCTATGTTTAGTTATGTAATCTATTCCACTGTTATCATTGATTCATAAACTGCCTTAATTGGTTTAATAATTTCGTATATGCATATGAGGATCTAATCATCAACTATTTAGAAATTTATTACATGCCTCTGTTATCCTTCACAAAGATGCATAGACCATCCACCAGCATTATGCATCCAACAACTTCCTAAACAGTTCTTTCCAGTTCCTATTCATCCTTTTCATGCCTGCTTACAATTCCCGACACAATGTGTTCCTTGGTCTTCCACTTTTCCGTTTCCCTTTACGATTCCAATTTAGTGCTTGTCTCATAATGTAATTTGATGGTTTCCACAATCTTTGTCCTATCCACACCTACTATATCTTTTCCTAATTTCCTCTTCATTTGGAATCTGGTTTGTTCTCTCTAACAATAGACTGTTTCTGATGCTATCCGGCCAACAACGTACATAGAGTATCTTGAGTAGACAACTTTTTATGAATACTTGTGCATTTTTGATGACGGTTGTGGTAGTTCTGGAAGTTTGAGCTCCGTACAGTAGAACTGACTGCCTTCACGTTCGTCTTGAAGATTATGACTCTGATATTGGTTGACAGACAGTTGTTTTGAGTTCCATATGTTCTTCAATTGAAGGAATGCTGCACTTACTTTGCTAATCCTTACCTTCATATCTTCATCGAATCCTCCTTGTTCATCGATGATACTGTCCAAATCCAAGAAAGTTTCCACTTATTCTAGAGTTTCTCCATGAAGTTTGACTGAGTTGGTTTTCTTCGTGTTTTATTTGAGGATATTGGTTTTTCCCTTGTGTATGTTTAGGAGTTGTTTATGAAAGGCAGCGAGAAATTGACATATCTGTATATTGTATTTAAATAGTTAATCCATTTTAATGCAGATATAGCTAAAACATTGTTAACTATTAAATTCATTTAGTATTGTTTGTTTGAATCTTCCCATTTATGTTTTAGGACTGAAACTGGTCAGTCTCTAATTGGCATATGTGCATACTGTGCGTATTGCCTCGATATAGCCTAAATTCACAACTCTGAAATGCAGGTACATCCAGCTGACGAGTCCCAAATAGGACGAGGCGTGCGTCAAACTGGATTCCATTGCTAGCCACTATCCACCTTTGCTTACCTTGCTTGTGAATTAAGGCTATATCGAGGCAATACGCACAGTATGTACATATGCCAATAAGAGACTGACCAGTTGCAGTCTAAAAACATCAATGGGAAGATTCAAACAAACAATATTAAATGAATTTAATCTTCACCCCATTACACAAGCAAGTGACTATCAGGAATCAGTAGCTGAGTGGATAGCGCAATGGAGTTTGAAGCGAATGGTACTGGATTCGAATACCAGAGTGAACATCAACTCTGAGATGCAGGTACACCAAGCTGATGAGTCCCAAATATGACGAAACGCGCATCCTGTATTCCACTGCTAGTCACTGTCCATCTTTGCTTACCACTGTTAACTATTGCTTTTTTACTTTACTATTTATATTAATCATTTCTGTTGGATATGTATATTTTGTTTAGAACAATTTTTACAAGTGGACAATTAAATGAACTAGAGAAAGCATTCCATGAAGCACATTATCCAGATGTTTATCAGCGTGAATTATTATCTATGAAGGCTGAATTGCCTGAAGATAGAATTCAAGTAAATACAAATGTTTTTTTTTTAAATTCTTCATCTTTTTGGTTTTATCTTATTGATGCCCAGTTTCTGTATAGAAATTAAGTTGTTGTGTTTAATCAATAGGAAGCCTTGAACTTAGATTTTGGGCTAGTTGGCAGTCATCAACAAGGTATACCGACAATCTCTACGGAACTGATATTTTCTGTAAAATTCAAAGCAACATCATCCAGCTCCACAATCTGAGGCGGTACAACTGAACTATTCATGCTACGATTGATATCCTGTAGGGCTGATCTTTACAACTGATTGGTCACTGATTAGTATTTTTATAGTCCTTTAGCTCTGATTGAGCTGAATGGATTATGTTGCAACGTAGCAATCAGACTAAACTATTCAACATATCATGCTCTATGTGGTTGAAGACGATAGACAGGAAGCTCTAAACCCTAGCTAAATATAATGTTAGTTTTGACAAGCTTAAATACATACTGAGGTAATTTATTTGAATATAACTACATTGTAACTTCATCGACAGAAATTTATCAAATATGATATTGGTTATCATTTAGTCATTATCTAATATGAATACCTCAGTGTGACAGGAAGTGAGCGATGGATTAGTCAGTTGAGCTTTAATAAAATTTAACATGACATTTGGTTATATGGGATCGAATGCTTGAGAGAACATAACTTCACTCAAGATTGCAGTAACTCTATGCTATCGAGTATCATGCAGCATGAAACCTATTCACATGGTATCCTAATAACTACTTAGGACGTATCATTTTAAACATTTTCAATATTCACTGAATATGATATATGCATTATCATTCAATTACATTTTCATTCATCTAGTAGATGAATGCTCCAGATTAAAGAGATTTGAATGATCCTCATCTACGACGAACCTGTCTATTGTGGCTCAGCTTAACATCTCAAAAATAGGTTAAAAGTAAGGGGTCGAAATGAAATTTTCAATATAATTTACACTGATATACGATACTTGCCCACTAGATAGATGAGGAAAAAATTGCAGAGCAGTGATGAATTTAGAATTTTTAGTGAACATCGATGAAATCCTTTAGTCTCATAATGATGTACGCATTTGTTTACCTACAATCTGGCTGATTTATCAGCTAATTATCAACCAACTTATCAAATATTCTCTTACATTTACCCTGTTTCAGGTTTGGTTTCAAAATCGACGAGCAAAATGGCGTAAAACAGAAAAGAAATGGGGTAAAAGTAGTATTATGGCTGAATATGGTTTGTATGGAGCTATGGTTCGACATTCATTACCTTTACCTAAAACAATACTTAAATCAGCTTTGGATAATAATGATGAGTCATGTGCACCATGGTTGTTAGGTAATTCGTTTTTTTCATTTGATTATCCGCATTAATGCATCGCTTTGCTTTCCTTAACAAAGTATACCAATTGTATATAGTTAGACCCCCTTCTCAAGATTTGAAAGTGCTGGGTTCGATCGATTGATGTGGGGTCATTAGTACGTATTCTTACAGAGTCCCATACTTGGGCGAGATAGTTATCAAAGACCTCCAGGTCGAAAAAAAGTCAATCAGTGATATAAACTATAAAATGTGGCAAACCCCAAAAATCCCATATAGTAAAACGTATATTATGGAATGTTAGTCACTTAACGGTTTCATCATACATGACCATTGTATTAAAGATGTATACCCTTAAATATTTAAATAATTCTCACCTTAAAGATATACACATAGAGAACATGTCTTGAACATCCTTATTTTATTATTATGAAATTAAACTGGTAGGATTACTGATAGTGATTTCAGTTACTATCAGTCTTCATCGATATGATTCGAGGAAAGTCCCCTAATTCGATGAAGCTATCTATGAAAAGAATGGCTACAGAATAATTATGTTGAGAACAATCCTGTTAATATAAAACAAAACATCCAAGGTATTATAATTTCTAAATAAGGATATATGTTACTACCAGTTCGTTCAATAGTCAACAGGAAAGTCCCAGTTTTCAGACTATCATGTTCGCGGTTGCTCATATCACTATATCACGAGTTCAGTTAAAAGTGTGAATCATTGTGTTTCAACTTTATGGTTGCAATGTAATGTAAACATTCTGTGATATAATGTTATAGTAGGGAGATACCTCTGAAAAGTTCCTTATGAGTTCGAAATAGCAACTATCCGATTCTATCTTCCTTTTTAATGGTACTTTTAGTTCTTATCAATTCATGAAAGGTACGTGCCTCATTTTAGCTTTTTGTAAAATATTATAATTATAGACTTATAACTGTAGAACCTGATGATGAATTACTTACTTCCTTACGCCTGTTACGCCTCGTGGAGAAACATAGGTCGCCCACCAGTATTCTCCATCCAACCCTGTCCCAAACAATCCTCTCCAGTTCTTTCCAGTTTCCACTCATCCTTTTCATATCTGCTTCTATTTCCCGACGTAATATGTTCTTCGGCCTTCCTCTTTTCCACTTCCCTTCCAGATTCCAAGTTAGGGATTGTCTCGTGATGCAGTTTAGTGATTTCCTTAACATATTTCCTATCCACTTCCAACTTCTTTTCTTAATTTCCTCTTCAGCTGATAAAGTTATTGAAAATAATTATTCGCTTAAATATTGTTCATTTTTGAATATTCTATTGGGATCTATATACTACTGAAATTCATAAAAGACTGAACGAAAACCGATGTAATATTTATCTTTAAGATGTTCAGTGTAACCGAAATGTGGCTAACTTTGATAATATGAACGAGAACAACTACCTTAAAGATAACAATCTTATTTTACCACACATTGGTCGATGCCTATTATTATTATTATTATTATTATTATTAGTAGTAGTAGTAGTAGTAGTAGTGTAGTAAAAAAAACACCAGTTGGGGACAATCGAATGTATTTAAGCACAAATTACAAACTATCTCACTAACTTCTGATTACCATACAGTAAACAGTCCATTTGCAAACTAACAATCAATTGTCTCAATCTTCACTGTTCCTTCTGTAAATATCAGTTCAGCTTCTCTAATTCCATTGTTCATGCATTTTCCTACCAATTGCGCTTCATTTTAGTCCTCTCCTTCTCGGTCTTCTGCCAAAATACATTCTATATCTGATCATCACCATATACTACTTATATGGATATAAGTAGACCACACTACAGCAGTAGTAGTATTTTACTTATTCTATTAAATTAAAATCAGAAAACTACATAAATGTCTATGGAACTACTCCATGTAAATGCTTGTAAGTACACCTATCAGGTTTAAATGTTTATTTATAAAAGTACACAGATACACAAAAGATGATAATTATACACCTGATAGAAACACAAGATGAAAAAAAAATCCATTTCATTTGTAATATGTCATATGATAAGAATAAGATTATCATTATTACTATTATTGTCATTCATACTATTAAGGAGTGATGGATAACGGTCAGTAGTGAATATCAGGACGTACATTTCTTCCTATATGGGACTCGTCACTTGGATGTACTTACATCCTAGAGCTGATATTCATTCCGAGATTGAAACCCAGAACCTTTCATTACTGTCCATTTCTGTTTAAAGTATATATGACTTAACGGTAATATCGAGGGAATATGCATAAGATATTAAATTTATTTTTACTTTTATTTATTTCGACATATAAATTGGTACAAAGAAGCACCAGATATATATGCACCGCACAAATCTCATTCGATTTGTGTGAGGGCTGTGATACTGTCCAAGTGCCTAAACTGAAGCAGGTGATTTTCTTAGGGGCCCACACCCAGAGCCTTTGACCTAAAGATCTGATCCACAGGGCAGTGGAGCATCGTAAGGAGATGCAGACCCATGGTAGACGGTGACAAACAATTGGTTCATACGCCTTATGTTTCCTCAAGAACCTGGAGCCCGTGTGGTTTGAAATCAGGGTTTTCCAACTCGCCTAGGTGGACCCTCCATCTCCACCAACCCGGTTAAAGCACCTGACATTCGCTTTTCATCCTCTCAATTTCGTAAACAACACCCGTGGCACTAGAAGGTAGTGAGTAGGACTTCCCTGGTAGAGGCTACATAAGTGTGGCCATGTGAGAGCATTTCGAGTCCTAAATATTGATGAAAAGATCCGAACAATCACTATTATTATTATTATTAGTTATTAGTAATTGTCTATTATAGGCTAAATACACCTTTAAATCAATCAACTAATCAATCAATGAAGGTACTATACACAGGAAATTAGATAAGTACGAATAATAATATCAACATAAGAACGAAGAATAGTAATAACTTATTGTTCTAATTATCTTATCAACATAATAACAATGATAATAATAATAATAATAATAATAATCGACTTCCCATTATATGATTGACCAGTTCTCCTTCCCATTCAATATACATACAAACATACATCCATACAAAGAACCATTCATATACACTTATGTAATCATTGATGGCTACTAAAAACATCCATATATGCAAGACACAGAGAGAGATCATGTAAACAAACTATTTAGACAAGTGGATTTCTTTTTTTAGTACATAAGTGTTTATCAGGAAATAATAATAATGATAATAATAATAATAATAATAATAATAATAATAATAATTTGCGTTTACCAGAAAGGGGAGAGGAGGGTGAACAAATATATATTTTAATTAATTAATTAATTGTTTTAATTTTTATATGACCTTAGTAATTTTGTTTATAATTTCTTTTCCCTTTCATAATTCTCCACCACCACCACCACCCCCGATGGATTTATTTTAGTTCCCCCCACACTTTCTTTTATCACCTTAAATAGAATTGATTTATGTTTTCATTTTCTTGTAGATTTATTTTCCCACTTATCTATCGGATAATATAATGTCTATTGTATGTTGTTCTATATGGATCCCCCCTCTTTCGCTTTTTTCTTATGTGAATTAGACTACCTACTGTCATTACTAACATCACACCATCTACAATAATAATAATAACAATACAAAGTAGATGTAATAAGCATTAGAAGAACAAGATGCACACTCCCCCCTATCTATCTATCTATGTATCTATGTATCTACTTATTTCACCTTTACATTCAAAACTTACTGTTATACTTCACAAAAATTAAGAAAAAAAAAAAAGATAAATAAATAAATGAATTTTGATGGGTAAAACAAATACTGTCTATCAATATGCTTATGCTTATGCTTTCAGAGAAAGAAAAAAAAGATGAAGTGGTTAGCCAATTTACATATACACTTATAAAGTAAACTTATTCTCTCTCTCACACTATCTCTTTCTCACTCACTCACTTACATTATCGCCTTTCTTTTCTTTCTTTCCTTTCATCAATACTACTTAATTCTTCTTCATCTTGTTAGTAATAGCTTATTAATAAAAGTTATATAACTAAATAATGTAGCTGATAAGTAATATCTAATAGATATACATAAGTATATATACAACCCTTTATGAATATGGATAGATATTCACATGCAACCTATATAATAGATGTATTATGAGAAAGGTTAACTAAATCATAATGCATAATTCATTATATCTAAACCATCATCTAATCAAGTTTGAAATTAATTAAGATGAACATTTCCTGATAAAGAAATAAACGAGCAAATCAAAAGTGACTAAATGAAATGAGCCCTAACAAAGAAAAGAAAGAAACATATAACAATTAGATAGGAGAAAAAAAATTTTAAAAAAAAAAGAAAAAGAAAAAAAGAAAAAAAAATGGAAAAGAGGGAGGGGGAGGGGGAGGGAAAGACAACATCACTAATAATCATAATAATGCACGCTATGTATAGTTTTAATTTGTTTCATTAAAGATTATTTAATAATAGTTCATAAGTATCTAATTATATAAGATAATAGAATTTAATTAATGAATGTATGTATATGTTCATAAGGGAACATTATTCACTTTTATATATAACTATGTACCCTATGGATAAACGAATCATATACGTTATAATTAAAGCCTTAGCTACAATAATAATTATGCACTAGTTAGATAACAACAACAACAAAAAAAACAAAGCGCACAGCTCTACAGGAAGTCTTAATTTTCTCGTGTATGGAGATCGTTTTTTTTTTTATATTTTCCGTGGAAAAAAAGTTTTTTTTGTTGTTGTTGATTTTTTAGTTTAAAATCGAATCAAATTTTTATTTCATTTTTACATCATGGGGTGCCATTTTATATCCCCCTTCTATATTGAGGTTATAATAAAAAAAAGATGCATCTATTTCGTTAAATGGTTACTAACGTTTTATTTCTTAAGTAAATTATCCATTTATATTAGATAAGTAAGTAACTAAATAATAAGGGAATGGTGTGTGTGTGTGTGTGCAAGAGAGAGAGAGAGAGGGAGGGGGAGGGATGGAGAGTAAATAAGCGTGTGAACATTGTTGTTAAGTCTATTTCATTAAAGGTTAATCAACGGACATGAAAGATGATGATTATTTAATTGAAGAGAAAAAGGTACAAGATGAATATAATTTCGAACAATTAAGGATATTTTACGCTAATTTTCAAGTTGGTCAATATGAGGTTAATATTTATATTCTGTATGTATGTGTACGTGTTTGTGGTCAAATTAACTCTTGATTCCCTAATGTTATGTGTATGGAAAGAAACGTATGCTTATCTGTATATATGTTCTCGAATTTTTGAATAGCAACATACAGACTATTAGAAAAAAAATTCGATATTCAAACGGAAATATTAATGAAAATTGTTCAGAAAGGGGTTTTGTAGAGATTATAGATAATTTAATAATTGAATTCATGAGTCAATTAAAGATAGAACACCGTGGAGAACCTGGAAACACTGGACGGTCGTTTCATTATATTGTGGGACTTCTTCACAATGCACATCCACGATCCAGCTCACGGGATTTCAATCCAGAACTTATCGGTCTCGCATGCAATTTTGTGGATTGGTTGAAGTTAGACACCGTTGAGATGCTATCTCGGTGGCCTAAATGTTAAGTGTTCGCGTTCGAGACCGATACGTCATGAGTTCGAATCCCGTGGACGTTCAATTATGAGGAGTCCTATACTAGGATGGGCTAGCTGTCCAGTGCTCCCAGGTTTTCCATGGTGGTCTAGCTCAAATCGATATATGAACTCAACTATGAAAATTGTTCATTTTAAAGTTAGTTTTCGTCAATCGTTAAAATCAAGTTGATGATACAGGAAAAGTAAATAACATTGACTTCAGTTTTACCCACCGCTGTAGTAGAAACCAAACTCGAGACCTTCGAAGCTTTTGTCTAGCCCTTAATCATCGAAATTCTAATTTAGTATCCAATACATCACATTTCTAACTTTCATTAATATCTCTTGATTAACTTTTGTTATTTATATCTGACAGTCGATTCTCGAGGAATTTTATTAATCAAGTGATCAATGGTGGTCGATGGTGCATGTTCATAGTTTCACGGTAGATCAACCTTAGGACTATCAATTCTAACAGAGAACACTTATTACTTAGACCAATGAGTTATATAATATTTGCAGCTGTAACCGATTCAGTCGTATCGTAAAAAATGTTGAAAGTATTTCTTCAGAAACCCACTGAATATTATCTAAATTCCTGTATACGTTTAGTAAGATTTCCAGCATGTTTCCTTCATTCACTTTAAATGAGAAAATATGTACCAAAATATCAAACCACTTAACTTAGTAACTAAACTTCATATTTGGTATATGGGATTCAGTCAGTGTTAAGGATAAGAAAGGTGGAAACTTTCACATACTTGGACAGCATCATCTATGAACAAGGAGGATATGATGCAGATTTAAAGGCAAAGATAGGCAAAGTAAGGAAGATATTCCTACAGTCGAAAAACATGTAGAAATCAAACCAACTGTCAACTAATATCAAAGTCAGAATCTTCAACATGAACGTGAAGGCAGTCAGTTCTACGGAGCTCAAACTTCCAGAACTACCATAACCGTCATCAAAAATGCACAAGTATTCATATACAGTTGTTTACTCAAGATACTCAATGTTCGTTGTTGGCTGGATACAATCAACAACAGTCTATCGCGGGAGAGAACAAGCCAGCTTCCAATGGAAGAGGAAATTAGGAAAAGCTGTTGTGGGTGTGGATAGGACGAAAAATGTGGAAATCATCAAACTGCACCAAGAGATAAGCACTAAATTGGAATCATGAAGGGAAACAGAAAAGTGGATGACCAAGGAACACATTGTGTCGGGAATTGTAAGCAGACATATAAAGGATGAATAGGAACTGTAAAAGACTGTCTAGGACATTGTCGAATGTAGAATACCAGTGGATGGTCTATGCTTCTTTGTGAGAGATAACAGGAGTAAGTAAGAATTAGGTACAAACTCGATTATCATTTAAATCAACCTTCTGCTCATATCTTTCATTAAATTCACTTTTTCTTTCTTTTATTAATAGGTATGCATAAAAAGTCATCAATGCAATCTAATATAGAACAACAAGAATTAAAACAAGATCCAATAATTGATTCAAATAATTGTGATTTATCAAGTCCTACAACTACTATAACTTATTTAACTGAATCTATACAATCATCAAATGAATCAGATAAAATATAATTCATGATTATCATAAACATTAGTAACAATGTAAATTTTCAAAGTTCAATCTTTACTCAAATGGTAGTTTTTCACTGTTGCCTTTTTTGAATTCTAACACAGTTCATTCTATATAATTGACAGATTATCTATCTATCTACATATCCACACTATATATCTATCTATCCACACTATCTATCCATCTATCCACACTATCTATCTATCTATCTATCTATCTATCTATCTATCTATCTATCTATCTATCTATCTATCTATCTATCTATCTATCTATCTATCTATCTATCTATCTATCTATCTATCTATCTATCTATCTATCTATCTATCTATCTATCTATCTATCTATCTATCTATCTATCTATCTATCTATCTATCTATCTATCTATCTATCTATCTATCTATCTATCTATCTATCTATCTATCTATCTATCTATCTATCTATCTATCTATCTATCTATCTATCTATCTATCTATCTATCTATCTATCTATCTACCTTTTTATCTGTCTACCCACACTATTTATCTATCTACCTATCGACACTATCTATCTATCCATCTATATATAATGTATTGTACAGTTAAGCATATTATTATTTTATATATGAAAACGATATTAACAATAATATACCTGTTTTAATAATAACAAAACTAATTGTAGATTATACAAATGAAATAAATCAGATTTTTATCAGAACGGGGTTCTGTGGAGATTTTAATAATTTTATATAGTTGAAATCATGAGACAATTAAAGCTAGACTACCATGGAAAACCTGGAGGCACTGAACGGCTGTTTCGTTCTATTGTGAGACTTCTCAGAAGTGCTCACCCACGATCCTACCTGGCGAGATTCGAACCCAGGACATATCAGTCTCGTGTGCGAGCGCTTAACGACAAGACCACTGAGCTGTCCGGCATCCAGCGGTGTTAATGTCTAACTTCAACCAATCCATGAAATTGAGCAACTATTCACCAATTGTCTTCAGTGAGTTGATATCGTCCAGTGCTTCAAGGTTTTCCATGGTGATCTAGCTTCAAATATATAAATCAGATTTGTTCATACGAGATTTATGTTTTATTGATAAGTGTGTTATTATTATTATTATTACTATTAATGGCTTTATTCAATACTATATTTTTGGTACAATATAGGATTCTTAGAACAAAGTGTTTCAACAAGTTTTCTTTCTCTATTTCTTGATCGATCCTGACGATAAATATTGACTGGTTGTTAGTTAGATTTTGGCAGTTTAGAAGTTCACATCTAAACAATTTACATTCGTTCCGATTCCCATTAACAGCAACTATGTTGTACAGTGAAATGTTGTAAACTATTCATAGATGCACCTTAATAGCTTATGAGACTAATAGGCATAATGATGTGTTAAAACGAACAAAAAGAAAACAGATAAATTGTTGAAATATCTAGATGTCAGGGAGAAGTAGCCCAGATATTCAAGTAGACCGCCACTGTAATACATAAATAACACAATTTACGAACATACGGACCATTTCTTTAGAAAAAAGCACTTTATATGTCTTCATTATCTTAGAATGTACGAGAAACATTTGATATTTCACTAGGACCTTGGGAAGAATCCCAGGTGCAATACACAATAATTTAATTCTTCTTATTGCTGAAGACTTCTCGAATGATCCATGCAGTTAAGTAAGAATAAAAATTTAAAAAAAAAAGATGTCTTCCGAATGAGCTGAAATTCAATGAAGAACCAAAACAAAATAAGGGTTCGTTGAGTATTTATGTTCAGGACTTTTAGTGGTCTATCGGTTAAGTGCTCTGGAGCGAAGCTGGTAGGTCCTAGATTCGAGTTTCGCGAGTGCGGAATGGTGGATGCGCACTGCTGAGTAGTCCCATAATTAAACGAAACGGCCGTCCAGGTTTTCCATGGTGATATAACTTCAATTTACTCATGATTTCAACTATAATTAACTGAACTCATAGTAGAATTCAAAAGCTAGATTACATATAACCCATTGATTTACAACTCCGAATTTTAGTCAGTAACTGATATAATATGAGAGCCATTTATTATTATCATTGGGTTGAAAATTTCACAACTGAACTAGTGAATCTCACTCTAATGTATAATGAACGGTACTAGATTTGTCAGTGTTTAAATATTTAAATCCTCCCTAATGAGGGTTCATGTTATCCATTTGTTATTATTGATGATTGAATTTTGATCAATATTTGTTTATATGTACATATCCTGTTCAGGTTACTTCAGTATAACTCTTTTAGATGCAGGGTATGGGGTTGGAGTGTAAGTGGGAATATTGACACTGAGATCCAAGTACACCCAACTGATAAATCCAAGATAGAATGAAACGTGAATCATGAATTTCACCACCAGCCACTATTATTATTGTAATTATTATTTGAACACATGAATATTAGTATAAAATGGCACCAAATACATAAGTGACACACAAGTCATTTGATTTGTGAGTGGGCTGTGATATTGCCCAGGCGCCCAAACTGAAGCAGGTGGTTTACTTGGGGAGTCACAAAACGAGCCTTCGACCTAAAAGTCTAATCCATAAAGCAGTGGAGCAACGTAAGCAGATGCAGTCTCACGGTAGACGGTGACCAACAGTTGGTTCATTTGTTCCTCCAGTGTTCTGAAGCCCGTGTGTACCATTGGTTTGAAATTAGGGCTTTCAGACTCCCCTAGATGGATCCTCCGTATCTACTATCCTGGTTAGAGCGCCGGACATTCGCTTTTCGATTTCGCAATGTTGTAGACAACACTTCCTTCACGAGAAGGCAGTGAGTAAGACTTTCGTCACAATGGTTGTATACACGTGTCTATATGAGAGTATTTGAATAGAGAGCTGTCTCTGCCCACTCTCGGCCGTACCAGGGCCTTTGGGGGTAATAATGTTTTTGAATATAATGGATAATAAAACAGGGTAAATATTCTCAACAGTTTAAGTAATATATAAATAGTATTCGTCACAAATTAACTTCTATGGGAACACCATTAAAAATCACGTAATTCTGAATAGATGTACGAGATCCTACATTAGTAGACATTGACAATTTTTATAAGAAATCGTATCGAAGTATTTGAAATTATACGCTTAGTAGTGAAGTTAATTTACGATATTCTATACGAACATAGTTGTTGTATTTAATATGTATCATGATGAATCGGATCGAGGAACTTTAGATTCCTTTTTCTTAGGTGATGCAACATGTAGGACGATAATTCCAATTCATTAAATATACATGAATCATAAGGACTAGAAAGGAAGTTGTATCACGTGAAAACGTGATGAGACTATAATTTATGGACAAACTTTGAACGATACTAAACTAACCTTGAGAGTCTCTACCTAGTAACCAGGATCAAATAAGGATTATAACCTGTGTAAGGAACTAGAATTATGATTTACAGTTGTTTAACATTAGAAATTAGATTGAAATTTTTCATCATGATTTGACGTTATTTATAATTTTCATATTTGAAATCATGAGTCGATTAAAGCTAAACCACCATGGAAAACCTGGAAGCACTGGACGACCGTTTCATCCTATCATGGGGCTCCTCAACAGTGCGCACCCAACATCCCGCACTCGCGAGATTCGAACACAGGATCTACCAGTCTCAAACCAGATCCTTTAACCGATAGACCACTGAGCTGGCATCCAACGGTATTATTGTCTAACTTCAACCAATCCACGAAATTGAACAACCATTCACCAATTGTCTTCAGTGAGTTGATATCTCTGCAACAGACTTGGTAGAACTCCACTGGTCACTGCTTCCCACTAGAACTCCAGGAAATATCTCTTGAAGTCAGTCACTAGTGAGCATATGATTATACATCAACAGGGGTTTTGTGGAGAAACGGCTGTCCAATGCTTCCAGGTTTTCTATGGTGGTCTAGCTTCAATTGACTCATGATTTCAACTATGAAAATACTAAATTCTCCACAAAACACCTTCTGATTAGTTATAATGCCAAAACTTTATTTATCCAAATGGATGTTGGGGATGTTAAATCCCCACTTCCAACTTAGACTTCTTACTCAAGTTAGCTGGGTCTGTGACACGTCAGATTAGCTAGCTTATCAGTCACAATTGATTGATCACTGGGTGATGATCAATTTCATGCGAGTCAAGTCCTTCTTAGCGCTGATCGAATGCTATCGATGAAGTTGCGATGTGGCCGCTAGTCTAGGTGGCTCGACACTGCGTGCACTATGTTGAGATTAGATAGTGGTTGGAGGTGGTCAACAGGAAACCCTGTTGATGACATGTACACCTTGCTGACGAGTGCCAAATAGCGCGAAACCCGGGTTTAGGGTTTTCTGTTGATCAACTCCAACCACCATCTACCTTATCAGTCTCTGGTCACAAGTCTTTATATTCCGTTCGCTGACTAGTGAATTCGAAACACTTCACATATAAAAATGGATAAATAAATTTCAGTATTTTCATAGTTGAAATTATTAGTCAATTGAAGCTAGACCACCATCAAGAACCTGGAACCACTGAACGGCGGTTTCGTCCTATGATGGGACTACACGATCCCTCATCCGCGAGATTCGAACCCAGGACCTACCAGCTTCGCGCCGGAGCACTCAATCAACAGACCACTGAGCCGACATCCAACGGTGTTTCACACCAAAATCCGAAACCTGTTATCATATACATGATTACTTCGTCCATAAATTCTAGTTTCACCAAACTAATGATCTTTAATGTTTTAATCAACTCATTTATTAATTTGTTGTTTCAAAATAGGTCATTAGTAAATTATTTTATCAAATTTTCTACATACTACTGTTATCTTCAAATCATTAATATAGTAGTAGTACTTCAAAATTTAATCAAGCAAATTATACAATCTTGTTTTTGTTTTGTTTTTTAATTTTTAAAATACCCAATTTACCCAATCTCATTAAGTCACCCAACTATACACATCATTATATCTATATATGTAGTGAGACACGTGTACTGATAGATAAATGAAGC